GTAACAGTTAACTGTAACAGGAGGGACTGTTACAGAAAGGAAATTATTTGAACTAATTGTGCACGAAAAATTATACCTTTCATTTCTTTGTAACAAAACAAATTTCATCAAAAATCAATTTCTAATAGCAATGTTTGATTTCATTCCAAATTAAAATCATATCATCTGAAGTTGAGAAATGTGCGTTGTAGAAAGGACTCGTAAAAAAGTTTCTCTCCAATTGGTCTCGAAAAATGTCTCTTTTCTTAAAATTTATTTTTTAGATGCAAAATCAAAGCAACCTTGTCAATAGGAAATAAAACCCTATTCAAAACAGAGTGACACAGCTCTGTCAATGTCAATGTAACCTATAATATTTGATGGTTATAGGTGCCTGTTACAGGGTGAACAAAAACGTCGCTACTTGATCATGTAAAAAGGAATAAAAATTACATTTGCTAACGCAATATTTTTTGATACAATATCAGAATTTTAAGTTAACACTTAAACTCGTTGCTTTAAGAAAAAATCGTTTAAAAATCAAGACTGGTTAAAGAGAAATTGTTAAAAAAATGTCCATGTTGTTATGGTAAAGACCACGGGACAGCATAATTGAGCTATTTTTGAGGTAAAAAACTTAAAAGCATTTTATATTTAGGTAGTTGAAGATTGAAACTGTTAGACCCTGTCCCATGTTTAAAAGTGTTTTTGAAAACTAATTTGAAAAAGTGGACAGCTGAACGCTGAGCTGAATCCAACAAACTGCTCTTAATAGTCCAGATTCAAATTTTGAAATATACTTGCTTTTTTGTTTTAGGTTAGATCAGTGTAATCCAGCTGATTTAAAAGAAGCCTTCAACTATGCACCCATGGATCCTGGGGTAAGAAATGAATTATGGACGGTTCCGCATTGAAACTGCATTTGCATTTCGACGAAATCCTGGAGTCTTGGCATGACTACTTTTTATTACTTCCGATAGTAGTGTACATAAAGGAACAATCATAACACTATGTGTTGTATTCTTCAATAGTAAGCTATTGATATCCTTCATACAATATTTTTTAGGACTGGCCCACAGAAGAGGTGCCTGGTATGGAAAAATCGTTTATCAATCTTTTTAACAGCTTTCGGTTACTGTGCTATAACGTTTTAGATGTACTGGCATTGCCTCTTGGTCTTGAGGTAAACCTTGTCTTCTGATTTCTTCTTTTAATGAAACATCTTTTTGGGTATGCTCCTTCACATTCTGTTGAATAGCTTAGCAACAAATTATGAATAAATTTTTATACGCCCACATGAATATGTGGTCGTATATTGTCGTCGCCCCTGTCCGTCGGTCCGTCGGTCCGTCCGTCAACATTTCTTGTGAGCACTATAGAGACTACAGTTTTGATCTGATTTTGATAAAACTTGGTGTGATGCTTTAAATTGATAAGATCTCGGTCAAGTTCGAATTTGACATATTTTCGATGAACGGTTTTTGAGATATTGCCCTTGACTTAGAACGCCTTGAAATTTGTTAACAATTGTTCGTGAGCAGGATTAAAGCTACAGTTTTCATCCGATTCTGATGAAACTTGGTGTGATCATTGGAATTGATAAGATCTCGGACAAGTTCTAACTTGACGCATTTTCGATGAACGGTTTTTGAGTTATTGCCCTTGACTTTGTTAAAACGCGTCGAAATTTGTTAAAAATAATTCGTGAGCAGGATTGAAGCTACAGTTTTCAACCGATTCTGATGAAACTTGGTGTGATCATTGGAATTGATAAGATCTCGGACAAGTTCTAACTTGACGCATTTTCGATGAACGGTTTTTGAGTTATTGCCCTTGACTTTGTTAAAACGTGTTGAAATTTGTTAAAAATAGTTTGTGAGCAGGATTAACGCTACAGTTTTCAACCGATTCTGATGAAACTTGGTTTGATCATTGGAATTGATAAGATCT